GTACCGACTTACCGCGATCACCCGACTCGCATGCTTTGGTATTTAATGTTCACCCCCGTCCTGCAGCATCACACGTTTCTTCGCGGGACATTACTTAACCGGCGGCATACGTCTCCTCGCTGGGACGCCTGGGGTCCTAACCATCTCCGAAACTACCTACGTCGCTTATCGAATGTCATCCTGCGCTGATCACTCAATGGACCGATAGCGGACCTAACCTATCTTTTAAAACCGGGCGGGGTCACTAGGTCCCTCCGGGCTGCCTGCATCGTCTCCGTATAGCCACGGCTTTATGGGGCCCGCGCCGGCAACCGAACGGATTAGCCTTCGTCGGCTATGCACTCATCCTCAATAATCGATCCTCAACTCGCTCTCATCCCTTCCCTTCACTTCGCGACTTATTGCACGTATCCAGGGCTTACCCAAGCGAGGCCTACTATTTAAGTGGGGTCTATCCGAGCTGAGCTTCATTCAGGAAATCCGATTCCTTTACGTGTACAGTCTTCTTCCATTTCACTCGCTTCTCATCTCCCTCCTAACCCGTAGCCGCGTCGGTGGACTTCCCACGCACAGGGGCGTGACGTGCATTATCTGTCCCCTTGGAGTCCCTTATTCATCTTAGGTGCGGGTTGACTTTAGTGGGGAGGATTTACTGAGACTCTAGCTCGAACTAACAACTCGTCTTTCTCGTTCTCGTCCTCCACCGTCACCCTTTTTTTCAAAGTTAAGCCACCGACCAGTGCGGACCAGGCTGAGCGGAAATCCCTTAGTTGAGGCCGTTCTGGGTTGGAAAATGGGAACGTATGACCCGGCCAGTGCTGACCAGACGAGGATAAGCAGCTCCTGTGCGGACACTGTTAGGCAGGAGGATGAACAGCTCCTGTGCGGGCGCTGCGTTGGTCTTAGGACAGGAGGATAAGCAGCACCTGTGCGGGCGCTGTTAGGCAGGAGAATGAACAGCTCCTGTGCGGGCGCTGTTAGGCAGGAGGATGAACAGCTCCTGTGCGGGCGCTGTTAGGCAGGAGATTGAACAGCTCATGTGCGGGCGCTGTTAGGCAGGAGGATGAACAGCTCCTGTGCGGGCGCCGTTAGGCAGGAGAATGAACAGCTCCTGTGCGGGCGCTGTTAGGCTGGAGAATGAACAGCTCCTGTGCGGGCGCTGTCAGGCAGGAGAATGAACAGCTCCTGTGCGGGCGCTGTTAGGCAGGAGAATGGACAGCTCCTGTGCGGGCGCTGTTAGGCAGGAGGATGAACAGCTCCTGTGCGGGCGCTGTTAGGCAGGAGGATGAACAGCTCCTGTGCGGGCGCTGTTAGGCAGGAGGATGAACAGCTCCTGTGCGGGCGCTGTTAGGCAGGAGAATGAACAGCTCCTGTGCGGGCGCTGTTAGGCAGGAGAATGAACAGCTCCTGTGCGGGCGCTGTTAGGCAAGAGGATGAACAGCTCCTGTGCGGGCGCTGTTGGGCAGGAGAATGAACAGCTCCTGTGCGGGCGCTGTTAGGCAGGAGGATGAACAGCTCCTGTGCGGGCGCTGCGTTGGTCTTAGGACAGGAGGATAAGCAGCACCTGTGCGGGCGCTGTTAGGCAGGAGAATGAACAGCTCCTGTGCGGGCGCTGTTAGGCAGGAGAATAACCGGCCAGCACTGAACAGACGACAATAAGGGGTGGAATCGGTTCGGATGTTTGAGGCCAGCCTGGCCACTCCCGTGGTCTCCGAAACGTGTATAGTTCTGGTCGTCCCGTACGCTGTACTACCAAACCACTGAGCCAATCACTGACGGCCGCGCCGGCCGGCTCCACCCACCTTGAGATGGATCGGGCCCAACGGGCTCGATAAACTACCTGGGCCCTATCGGATTTGGATGTCCCTTGAGAACCAGGCAGACGAGAAGAAGAACTGTTCTGTTACCAAATACTATGGCGAATTGGATACCTCGAAACCACTTCCTCTCCCGCAACGACTTCCTCTCCGGCTGTGTAGATGGCATATGGTCTGTGACATTTTACTCTCCGGTCCTTTCCTTTCACCACTCCTTACACTCGTATTACAATATGTACAAGTCCCATTTATTGACATCTTCCTGACACAATGCTTTAAAATCCTGTACATGTCAAACTTGGAAAAGAACGTTCCGTGACCAATGACCAGGCCGTCCGGCAAGTGAGCCTCACACGCTGCGCGGTGCGGTACAAAGTCGCCTAGCCCCTTTCCGACTCACCATGGTACATAATCCCCTCCGTCCGTCTTGATCACCACGGAGCACCAGACGAGGGTTCACTCCACGTCGGCACGCGTCTCGCACCACGCCCATAGTTAAATAATTGGCCGAAATCGGATTGTTAAATCAGGCTACCTAGACTGAAAGTTCTCAAAATAAATTGAATTACCTAAACTGAATGGCGCCTTAATCACCCCGGGGCGCCGGACGAGGGTCCACTCCACGTCGGCACGCGTCTCGCACCACGCCCATAGTTAACTAGTTGTCCGAAATCGGATTGTTAAATTAAGCTACCTAGACTGAAGGTTCTCAAATAAACTGAACTACCTAAACTGAATGGCCTAAATTATTGCGCAACGACACCAAAAAAAAGGAAACATAATGTGGCTCACATAGCAGTAAAAAAAGGGGGGGGGGGTGATTATTTGAAGGATTTAGGGACTAGGTGCGTGCCCGTGATCACCATGACCTTACTTGAGATGGAGTCGCTGACATGATGGCCGTGTCCGTCCAGCGCCCCGCCAGGCGGCCGGAGCCGCCGCCGGCGCCGTGATGCCAGCCGCTGGTGTCTCGTGGGCTGTCCACGATGTCAAATGTGAGCCGAGAGCGAAGAGCGGCGTCGAATGCGTCGTCCGAGGGAGTGCCAGAGAGCCCGTTCCAGTTCCGTTTCATCAACTTATACTTCTGATGACGTCATACTTCAGAGGGCCGGGCAGCATCACCTTGTCCAATCTCCGTCCTCCATTCTCAGAAGCTGCACTCGGCTCCGCCCTCGAAAGTTCGTGATTTGCTGACAAAGTTCGGTTCCCCTCCGGCCATGGCAGTCGCACCCTTTCACGCAGCGACCGGGTGGAATTCGCCGCCGGCGCTCACGGCGCCTGAGGCGCCAGGTGGCGGGCCTGGCCCTCTGCTCCCCTTGTTTTGAAGTCAGGTCCGGCCAGATGTCCTATATTTTGTCGTTGGCGACCGAGTTCCATTTCATCCTGTTTTCGTACAACCCGGGTCGGTCTCCGCTCCCCTTTCTTGTTTTGGTTCAAATCAGGGCCGGTCTGCACTCCCCTCTCCTTGTTCTCTGGCGGGGTGCCGAGCGTGGGACAGAGTCTTGTTTTCCAAAGGCTAAACTGATTAATGGCTCGAGGCTGGCAGAATGGCGCGTTTCGGTATGCTATTTGTTGGCTTCAGATCCGGGTTCTCATGAAGTGGGGTGGTCATCTATAGAGGACCCCTGTTTGTCAGAGCCTACTGCGCCGTCTGTGTGGACGCCAGCTGGGACGGAGAGAGGGTATCACAGCCGATTTAGCCGGCTGACCGTGTCTGTGCGGCGCTCGCAGATGGCCGTGTTTCAGCTTGTGGCACAGCTTGCAGTTCAGCATGAAAGATGAAAAAAAATGTAACGCATCTGCGTTACAGAATGAATCACAATATTGACATTCCCGAGTCTGGAATCGGCGTCGTGAAGATTTTGGCGACTGCGACTCGGACTCTGGCCTGAACTGCACCCTTCAACCGAGTCTGACCTCACAGGCATTCTCAGAAAGGTACCCCCATTTTTTCCCGACTCCAAAATCTCATCGGATATGTATCGATCTCAGGGGGTGCCCGGTCCGAGGTTGGGGGGGGGGGGGCAAGCTGCCCCGCTTGCCCCCCCGTGGCGACGCTAATGCCAAAAGCAATCCATTGAACCGCGGTATTGGCTACCCGTGGATCTGCGCCAGACACTTCAAGGCTTCAGCAATCAGCATGGCTCCCATCAGGCGCAATATAACTATTACTAACGAGTGCTGACAGCCAGATGTAATCGACTCGCATTTAGAACGCCCCAGTAAGTCACAGTGGAACACAATCACCCTTCACTGAAAACACAATCACTTTTCACCAGTACGTGCCGCAGAGCCATTAGTTGCATATCTAACGATGCATGTGACTTGTGCCACTTGAGGCGGCAATGGGCTCCCGGCATCTGCTGAAATAAATGAGCCACTTATGTGGCTGTCTGAAATGTCGCACGACCGCACGATGGATGCTGTCGGACGTCGCAAATAAAATAAGCACAGCTCATCACATTGTCCATGCTGCAGCCGTTTAATGCTCCGCGGGCGTTGCCGTATATAACGCCGGCTTCCTAACACGTGTCAGGTCGCAACTGTGATAGGCGAATAAAGGGTGCCCTCATAACTCGCGTACGATTGTATCGGAAGGTCATAAATGTCCCATCAACATGCGCCATTGTGGCGTAATGGCCTGCACAGGCCTGCGCTGGGGGAGAACATCAAAGATGCACATGACTCAACAGTCGGAGAAAGATAGTCTGGAGACGAAACCGGAGACAGGCTGACAGACAGGGTCAAAGAAGGAGGGACACGAGTGTATGAAACAGAAACGGAATCAGAGACGTAAACACGGAACCGGAGACGGAACGGAGGGGTGGAAGACAATGCTGGAGAGAATAGGCAGAGTGGAACGAGGACAGACCAAGCAATGAAGAAAACAGAAACAGTCCCTAGCAATGTCCTGTTCCGTCGCACAACAATGGCTTGGCGTTGCGATAAAATATGATATGTGGCTGTTCACAGTTAAGTCACCGCCCATTGCGCTGTGCTGGGACGGGGGTGGTTTATGACTGTTCATAGTTGAAGTCCCTGAGGACTCAAAACTACGAGTATGCCATGTGCAATTGTGCATAATTATCTCATCTACGATTCCTCTCTGTCTGCTGGTTAGGTGTCTCCAGAATGTCTGATGGTGGTCCCTGACGTCCCTCAGCCTGACGCCCCGTCACCCACCTTTCCGTCAACCCATCAGCCTTGCTGTAAAAGAGCGCCTTGAGCTTCTTCAGCTTGTCCAGCAGGAAGTCGCCGAGGTCCTGTTCCAGGGTCCTCCGCTCCCAGGAGAGGAACCAGCGAATGTTGGCGGCGGACAGGGACTGCAGCTCGGTGAGCTCAGAGGGTAGCAGCAGCACCTGCCGCGATCACATAGTTAGAAGGGCGTCCTCCGGGTCAGCCCGACTCTTGTCCATATGATCAGAAATGGTGACACTTACAACGGATCGTGGAGCGTTTCTTTAACCAAGAGCGTGAGAGCTGTTTGTATGCATGTTTGACGTTTGTCTGTCTGTCACTCACTCGGCGGCAGGCGCCCATCAGCCGGTGGCAGTTCTATGGTCGCTCTGCGTCTGTGTCTGTGCTTGTCTCTCTGTCTCTGTGTTTGTCTGTCATTCTGTCTGTCAGTCAGTCCCTCTGTCTGTCTGTCTGTCCGTATGTCACTCACACGTCGGCAGGCGCCCATCAGTCGGTGACAGTCCTCTGGCGGCTCCTCGGGCGGCGGCTCCGGCGAGGTTATTGTGGCCTCCAGTTTCTCTGCTACGTTAGCCTGAACCAGCAGCGTCTCCGACTCCAGGCGCTCGCTGTGAGCCAGCAGCAGCTGCAGCCGCCGCTCCTGAACAAAGATACGGCTTTATGTGAGTTGCGATTTGCAAACGTAGCCGAAGCTTCATGACAGGAAACTGATGCAGATGGTGATTAAAATCCCAACAGATAAGCCTAAATGGACAAAAAGGACTCAGTTTGTAAATATTTATCTTTCTTTATATCGTGTTTTCGTCAATAAACTGCTAACAAAACAGTTGAATTGAATCAATATTCGGGAACGGTCAGTCGCTGGAAAGCAAAAATGCCGCGTGATTCTTTCTTAACAGAATCCCTGAGACCATCACTCTTTCGGAGCGCGTGCACTGCGTTAGCTATCCCGCCGTTGGTCGGTGTCTGACCTGGAACTGTTCGTATGTGGGCAGGAAGGCGGCCATCTGCTTGGCCAGCGCCTGCTGAATCTGGTGCACCTTGGCGACCTTGCTCTCCTCCAGCATGCTGGCCACCGACTTCTGGATCTTCTGCTCGAGCTGCGCCTCCTTGGCGGCCTGCTGGGAGTCCACCGCCTGCCGACGGCGTGTCAAGTGTAAGTATTTACAAGGGGGTTCGGGGTACTTACGCCGTATATTTATGGACGGGAACGTTCACTCGCATCCCCAGTGGAGCATTTTTACTTACGTCTACGAACCTAAATAAAAACGGCAATTCTTGAGTGTTTAATAAACTGAAATAAACTTTTCTGTGCGAGTATTGTGCTTTTTTTTGCTTAGTTTAAATGTTAAACTTTCCTAGCTTACCTCCGGCCGATTTCAGAACGACTCATTTACGGCCCTTTTAGGCACACCTCTGCCCAATGCCCACATCAACCCAAAATAAGTAAGTACTCCCTTTAATATCCATGCTCATTGCTCAACATCCTCGCCCTCTTCTGATTTTATCCGCCCGTGTCCCACCTGCAGTTGAATCTCGAGTTTCTTGGCGTATCGGACCCTCTCGGCCAGGTGTAGGGAGAACACCTCGCACGAGGAGGCGATGTAGTTGTACAGGTGGTCCACCTGACCAGGCGCAGCCTGTCGCACACCGGAGATTGTCACAGGTCAGCGGGATGTTCGGTTGCAGAGGTTAGAGGATCACGATCGGCGTCTAGCGCGACACGGTTCAAAGAGTCGGCTGGCTGGTCAAACCGTAACGATCACAAACATTCATCGCTGTGTAGCTAATGCGGGATTTTCGGGTTTTAGAAAGCTTTTTGCGCCACAGTTCCTCCCTATCCCCTGCTTATGACACAACTTTAAGTGTTTTGTATATTTTATTCAGTAATGAGGTAGTCGCTTATTGTGGTTGAATGTCTCCATGCCTGCATCACATATTATTCAAACATGGGCTCAAAATCCCAAACAGCCGACACCAAAATTATAAAAAAAATGTTCAGGATTCAGTAAAAGTTGTTCCCGCTGCCCCGCAGAACCTTTCTTAAAAAATTCACGATAGAACGTATACAAAGGAAACGTATAAAAAGAAGATAGCCTTTTGTTTATAGGTACACTAGTGCCTATTAACAAAAAGCTGAAAACCTCCGTCACATAAGTGCAGTGCACTTAACATCCCGCCACTTGTGCTAACCCTTCGTTCTTTTGTTCTCCGGCCTACCACACCTCACGTCAGCCGTCAATTTCCGTCTAATTGAACTCCATGCGGCGCTCCGCTGTCCCCGGCGGCGGCAGCTCCTCCGGCCCTCTCTCCCTCTCGCTCTCTCCCTCCCTCACCTTGACCACCTGGCTCCAGCGCTCCTGGGCGGCGGTGACGTTGTTCTCGACCTTGCTACGGATGGGACCGAACATGGTGGCCGTGTGGTGGTCGGCCAGCGACTCCCACTGCTCCACGTCGGTCACCTCTCTGACAGAGCAGACCAACATAAGTAACCGGTTAAAGTCAGTCATCTCTCCGACAGAACGGGTTGATGACAGTCACCTCTCTGACAATAGACAAACGTCAGTTACCTCTCTGACAATGGGCCCACGTCAGTCACCGGTTAATATGGGCACACGTCAGTTACCTCTCTGACAATAGACAAACGTCAGTTACTTCTCTGGCAATAGACAACCGTCAGTCACCTCTCTGACAGAGAAGAGCAACATAAGTAGGTAACCGGTTTAAGTCAGTCATCTCTCTGGCAGAACAGGTTAAAGTCAGTCACCTGTGGCAATAGGCATACGCCAATTACCCCGCTTATAGAACGGTTTAATTTGTGTCAGTTCTCTGACAATAGACAAACGTCAATTACCGGTCAACATCAGGAACTGATACCCGTCAGTCACCTCTCTGTCCGGACGGATTCGCGTCAGTCAGGCTCAGCCCTCTGATAGAACAGACTTTAAGTCTATAACACATCAGTAATCAGTCACATCTCATGTGATGCCACACAAGGACGGAATATGGCATTGCAGGAGCATGATGGGGAACATGCAAATTACCGTATGGCGTCTGGTTTAAATGACTGTGGTGCATGGGTTTCTGCTTTCTCAACTGTTTCGCATTGGCCCTCTGTGCTCTATGATCTATCCGACGTCCGTTCACTCTCTTCTGTCAAATTCTTTAGCAATATGTATGTCCCGTGTGATAAGTCGTACCTTTGCGTCCCGTCTGTCTATATGTGCTCTCAGCTCGTCTTCCTTATTCCATTACCGTCTATCAGTACCTACTCTCTCCTCCGCTTCTCGTCAACACTGTTTATGCTGCTGCAAACGCACACGCCTGTCCTTGAAACCCGAGTCGTGCGGCGTAATTGAGTCGAGATAGGTTGCTTCTAATGAAGCTCTCCGCATACATCAGCCAGCGCATTTACTACTCTATTGATCTCGAAGCGTGCACCAATGCCATTCTGAAAGGCCACCCGACGTCGGTTCTGCCGCCGCCGGTACTGAATGTCCGTAATAATCAGAGCCCCGAGGTGTACTGTCGCCGGGCGCCGATGAGATATCGCGGGCCGGGAAGCACCAAAGGACTCGAGGTCGTTCGACCAGTCTGGAGCAGGTAGGGGCAGGGCGGAAGCAGTGGGAGGGAGGGGCAGTTGGACCCCCGCCGGCGCCGGGCGGAGGACACGGGGAGGGGAGGGAGGGGAGGGGTCAGTTCTCAGAGCTGCGGCTTGGAATGTCGCCAGCAGCCGCGCCCATGGAAAGGAACTGTAGATGACAGAAAGGTAAATGAGAAGTTGAAAAGGAAGAGAAAAGTCTAGAGGCGCGAAAGAGAGGAAGAGATGAGGGAGAAGAGGAGACGAAATGAGTGAAGATGCGATCTAAAGAGAGGAAATTATGAAAAGAGGAGAGAAGAAAAGCAAAAGATGCTGTTGAAATGACAGATGACAAAGCTCGTACTCGATACCAGAAGGCTTTCCGCAGACGGCGGGACAGATCGTCTGATCCTGACACAGCGCCAACAGGGCGAGAGAAGAGGGAGACGACACAGCAGGCGACAACTTGTCCACCAAGGACCACGCCCTGTCACCGAGGGTTGGAACCGGTCCTCCGTCTTGAAGGACTGAACGGTCGCGCAGTAGACCCCGCCCGAAGGTCGAAAATGCCTTATGTGCGGCTGAGATGAAACCAGAAAAGGATTACCAGGGAATGACGAATGTGCTCCAGATGCTTATAGTAGACTCGTTAAACTCGTTATTTTCTGCACTAGAAACCCCCGTGACGACTGCTGCAGCTGTTACGCTGGACTAGGCGTTATCAGCATCACATCGGCCGTTATCTGCTCACAGGGCCGTCTCGACCCTGAAGATGCAGTGTGGGGGATGCACCACAAGGTCGCGGGGCTGGCCTGGAACCCGGGTAGCACGTAATTGATCCGCAGCAGGTGGCACACAAAACAAACGGCAATCGATGGTAGCTAATATGTTGCGCAATAAATGACATCTTGTGTAAGTAAACACGGTCCATGATGTAGGATTGTGTCCAATTTGTTAAGAACGCATCTAAGCGCATTGGAAACGTATTTGTTTTCCCCTCTTACTTTCATCATACCGTTAAATTTTGCATTTTCCCCATTGCAAACGCCTGGCAAAAAGACGGTCGAGACTCGAGATGCTCAGGTAGGTACACTCGGGGGCAGATTGATGTTCCACAACTCTTTATCCACCGGGTTCCTATGGCTCAGCATTGGCAGCAGTCGCCTGGTACCGGTAGACTGTGCCGCTTCACTTACTTGTCAAGCGGCACAGCCTACCCACCTGTATGACACCGGTCTGGGTCGGTGGCTGGAAGGCGATGTGGGCCGCCTGTGACGTCAGCGCAGCGGTGAGGGCCGAGCCCGGAGGCATGGCTCGGGTCGGCGCGGCGCGGCGGCTGGCGAGGACTGGGGAGTGAGGTGGGGTGGGAGCACGGACATCGCGTGGCTGAGCGAGTGTAGTTAACTTTCGCATCTCAAGGCGCCAATTGTTCTATCTAACAATTGCGCTAAAGCAGTTGTTAAAATGTCCTATCCCCAAGACAGCGCCTATCATCATACTTGCAATGCACATTACGACACATTTAAGTGTGGCAATGGGACAGCCGATAGAACTTATGTCACACGTGCATCGAGGTGCGGAGCTATATTTCGTATAACATATTAGTATTAAGGCCTTGATTGAGCAGATTGGTGTCTATTGTTTCGCACGGCAATCGTCCAGAGACGTGGGAACTGGGAGCTATGAGTAGTGCCGCAGCCAACGCTCCAATTTAAAGCGATTATTACTGTTGCTCTAATATGTGGTCGCAGCCTCCAATAGCAAACCGTTCCAACTGGAGCCAAAAAGTCGGCCACTCAGGGGGGTTCGAACCGGGCTTCTCCCACCGGCCAATTCACGACACGAGCGTTCATCCACTGAGCTACCGAGAATGGTCTTCGTCCGCGCAAAACAAAATGACATTCACCCGCTGACCGCCAATGACAGTATTGTGACATTTGATCGCGTTTGACCGCGGCGGGTGGTCGCTGGTTTCGGCAGCTCAGTGGATACACGCTAGCGTCGTGGGGTGACCGGTTGGAGAAACCCGGTTCGAACCGTCCCGGGTGCGCGACTTATTTGTTCCTAGATGGAACGGTTTGCTATTGGTGGCTGCGACCACACATTAGAGGAACATAAGAGTTGCTTTGGGACGCCGCGCTATCCAAAAACCCCAGTTCCCACGTCTCTGGACGATTGCTGTGCGAAATAATAGACACCAATGAGCTCAATCAAGGCCTTAATACATATCTGTTAAAAACAATGTAGCTCCGCAACTCGATGCACGTGTGATATAAATTCTATCGGCTGTCCCAATGTTACGTTTAAAGGTAGTGTGCCAGCTTTCTTGGACCGTATGGAGTTAATGGCCCAGATAAGGAGAACCGGATTTTTAGAACTTATCCATACCTTCAAAACTCATGGAAACGTCTTAAATTCTTCAAATTTTGAGTACCCCAGTGCGAAATTCGCCCCGACGGGTTGTCGGTCGTACCCCAACCACATTTCACACCACTATGAACAATAAATGCACACACTGAAATCGCTATTACCGATATGCTCATCCAATCAAGTTTCGATAAACCCGTTCATCATCAGCTCCTGCGGTTTCGAACACGCCTGTTAGTTGGCTTCTGATGCTCGTCGAGGTCGGAATTTCCAAATACGCGTGGTGCGTCGGGCCGCGCGCTCTGACTTCGGCCAAGAAAAATGCGTCAGCTGATCATTGTCATTTCTGCCACTTACGTGTGGTGAAATGGGGTCATAACTTATAAGACGGCTTTTTCATATCAATTATTTTACATAAAATCATATTTCAAACCATAAATAATGTTCGACAGCCAAATAAAAGAAACAATACCAATACTACAGTTTAAGGCTCGACATTGTGTTGTCTACGATTAGACAGCTGATAACTCATTCCCGTACGTCGTATGGTCGTAACACTATAATGACCTTTGCTTATTGTCACAAGTGCGCCGCATTCGCGATTGTTGCCCGACGCCTGTTTGCAGGTGAGCCCACTACAGTTGTTATACATATCTAAAAACCGATAAACTTTTAGGCGAAAAAGGCACTATTCCAGGCCCATTTTTGATTTTTTTTGCGATATTAGGTAAAAACAGAAGCTTCTTATCCTAGGAAAAATAAAATGGGAAATCTTTCAAAGGTGGCACACTACCTTTAAGTGTGTCGTAATGTGCATGGCAAGTATGATGATAGGCGCTGTCTTGGGGATAGGACATTTTAACAACTGCTTTAGCACAATTGTTGGGTAGAATAATTGGCGCCTTGAGACGCGAAAGTTAACTACACTCGCTCAGCCGCGCGATGGTCCGTGCTCCCACCCCACCTCACTCCCCAGCCCTCGCCAGCCGCCGCGCCGCGCCGACCCGAGCCATGCCTCCGGGCTCGGCCCTCACCGCTGCGCTGACGTCACAGGCGGCCCAGATCGCCTTCCAGCCACCGACCCAGACCGGTGGCATACGGTGTGGGTAGGCTGTGCCGCTTGACAAGTAAGTGAAGCGGCACAGTCTACCGGTACCAGGCGGCTGCTGCCAATGCTGAGCCATAGGAGCCCGGTGGATAAGGAGTTGTGGAACATCAATCTGCCCCCGAGTGTACTACTGCCATTGGATTTGGACCAAAAGAACAACAGAATACACATTAGACATGCATTTGACAAATTATATGGAACAGGCAAGTCCGTTTCAATGAATCATTTGAAGATGATAAGTTGTCTTCGTTATGCAGAAAATACTGCGACACTATCACAGATGCCTACCGGGCGGAGATCGGCCTTAGTTTACGGCGTCATTCATCAAACATTCGATCGATAAGAACGCTTTAATGGGATTTATGGCGTGCAATGAACTAGGACTCGTTGCCTGCTTCCAGCCGGTAGGTGATGAATGAATGTAAATAACATAAATCTGCCACATAAGGGGTGTTGCAAGGAGGTCCGCTGTAATTGCTCCAATAATTTTTCTCGGACATATGAACTGTTTTGACTATTAATCTTTGAATGGCGATAAAGCGAAATCTAGCCGCACGAACACGTCGTTATGTAGGATAATAAGACAGCATGCCGTTTTAATAGGCGCCACTAAGTGGCTGACATGCATTCCATGACAGCAATGAAAAAGCGTGCTGGAGCGAGAGACCTACAGCCGAATTCATCGGTGCAAACATTCGATGGTCGATGTTTTCAAGAGGCGGCCGCACCAAGTCCTACGTCATGAAGGCAGCCGCTGCTCGGCCGGTGCGGCTGGCCGCCAGCCGGCGTCATCCCGTCACGGTCCGTCCGTCTGCTCTGGTTCCTCCGTCACCGGCGACCGGTGGCGGCACGTGAGACCGGCCCGGCGGCCCGCGGACCCGTCCGAAGGCCGCCGCCGCCGCCGCCGGGCGCGCGGGCCCCGCTACATAAGACGGCGCGCGCCGGCCGTCGGCATCACTCGACACCCGTCCTCCTACAGCCGCCGTCAGGATGTACAGACTTCTGGTAGTGTGCAGCCTGGCTGTGGCGTGCGCCGCGGCGCCCCAGCAGCGCGGCCTCTTCTCGGGCGACCCGGCCACGGCCGCCATCCTGGCCGAGACCCGCCAGGTGCGGCTGGACGGCAGCTCAGACGTGGCCTACGCCCAGGAGGACGGCGTGCTCTTCAAGGAGACCACCAGCGACGACGGCGAGCGCCGCGGCTCGTACGAGTTCATCGGCGACGACGGTCAGCTGTACCGCGTCGAGTACACGGCCGGCGCTGGTGGCTTCAAGGTGATCAGCAGCACGCACGTGGACGCCACTCCGGACCTGCCCAGCGGCCCGGAGCAGTATTACGAGCCGTCCCCGGTGCCGGCGCCCACACAGGTGCGTCAGCCGGTCCGTCAGCCGGTGCGCCAGCCGGTGCGCCAGCAGGTGCGCCAGCCCGTCACCTCGGCGTTCGAGATCAACTACAACCCGGCACGACAGGCGATCCCCGCCACCACCACCACCACGGAGAGCACCGTGCGTAAGAACTTCCACACCGGCAATGTGGCGCTGTCCCAGGACGGCCAGGGCTACGTCTACAGCTACACCCACACCGGCTGAGCTGGCCGTCTGACGGGGTGCCAGCCGTCTGCTAGTCGAAGTTCGCCGAGCTGCTCCCGTCCAACAGCGGTCCCCTGTCTCATCTCATCACGTGCCTCCTTAGGGCCACTTCCGTCCGAAACTTCTGTTATCTGTCATCATGAAGTCATACGTTGGCTGTGGATATGTCCCACTTGACTGATATTGCTTACGCTTATCCAAGAGGTCTTGAGGAATCACTGGGCGGTTACCATCTTCGCAACTGTTCTGTCTCATGTCCATGCAAACGTGAAGTGTTTATCATGTGCAATAAACCAGAAAATCCCGATAACAGTAACAAAGTGTTTGATTTAAACGGAAAAGGAAGGGGAAAAAGAGGGATAAAGAGAAGGCAAAAATAGGTCCTCCTCCCTATCCAAGTTCTCTCCTCTGAGTAGTAAAGTAATCTTGCTCTCCTCTATCCCCGTTGGTGATAGCTGACGGACCTGATGCCGTGGTCGTGACTTGTCCCAACCAGACAACTCACTGATCAGTCACCCACGCACATTTCCAACCACATAATACAACTGACCTGAGATAATCCCTCGACCTATCCTCACAGTTACCAGCCCACTGACCTGAGGTCGTCCCCTGTCCGACTTTATCCGGCCGACTGACCTAAGGTCGTCTTCGACCTTCCCAGCCCACTTACTTGAGGTCGTCTCAGCCCACTAGCCTGAGGTTGCATCCGACCTTATCCACCCGACTAACCTGAGGTCGTCTACGACCTTATCCAACCGAATGGCCTGAGGTCATCTCTTATCCGACCTTACCCAGCCAACTGACCTGAGATCTTCCATCCGACCTTACCCAGCCGAGTGACCTGAGGTCTCCTACTCGACCTTACCCAGCAGACTGATCTCAGATCATCTGACTTCTGAGCCAACTGACCTGAGGTCATCTCCGCTCCGCCCGACTGACCTGTGCACCAGGTCGTCTCCGACCTTGTCGAGCTGCTCGTACCAGGCGTTCTCCAGGTCGAGGTACAGTCGCCGGTACGACTTGCAGTGCGCCGTCACCATGGTGCTCATAGAGTTCAGGATCTCGTACGCCTGGTCCTGTCGCACACACAGACCCAGGTGGTAATGGCGGCTGAAATGGCATGTAGTTATCTGATCCTTCCGACTCGGAGATGACCCGGCTCGTTGGTAGATTGACACCGGCCTGTCATTCGTCAGCATGCCTGCTACTGACCTTTGAAACGCTAACTTATATGCAACTGGCCTGCTATTGTCATTCGTCTACCGTCTCATTGGCAATTAGTTATCCGACCTACCACTCGCTGGTGATATGCTACCGACGTGCTATTCCTTCACGGACCTATCTATGATTCGTCGGTAACGTTTAATCGACATTTTATTCGTCCATCTACCGGCTTATACACCCCCGACTTATCTTTTGCCACTCGCCCATTTGTCATTCTCCTACGAACCTGCCACTCATCCACCGACTCGTCGGTGACGTGTTTGAGGAACAGGTCTGGCAGTCCGGTCACGTGCTCCCGGTAGTGTTGCCACACGGTGTCCATGCACGTCTCCAGCTCTGCCAGAGACGCCTCCACGTGACTCTCCACGGCGGCCGCCCGCAGGTACTCGGAGAGACGCTTCTCCGCCTGCCCGGAACGCAGGAGAGGTGAGGGGGAGCTAGGAGTTCGGGATAATAACATGGACATTGTAATTAAATGTTCGGTTTCGGAATGTGAAGGTTTGGTGAAGATTTCAAAGTTCTAGCAATGGCACAAATTGTAATGACCGTATAAATGAAAATCAATTGGCAGGAAGTACCTAAAGCATGGTCAATCGCCTTGCTCGTTATATGTGTGCGCCAGCCTCTCGGGGCTCTCACGCCCGCATTACGAGCACCCTGGGCAGCGGGCACACTGACTGAGAGCGCCCTGGAAGCTCCATAGACACCTTACCACTCACCTGCAGTATATTGAGCGTCCGCCAGGCGTCCCGGCGCACCTTCCACAGGTTCTTGAGCTTCTGCTTAGCCTCCACCTCAGCAGTGAGCCGGTTGAAGCGGAGCTCGGCGTACTGGCGCAGGTTACTGAGGATCATCTCGTTGAGCGCCACCGCCTCCAGCTCCAGCTGCTCCTCTACCTGAGGAGAGGAGAGGATCGTTCACGTCGCCGTGAGGTGAGACTGAATGGCAGGTAAGAGTGACTTCTGCGAGAAAAGCGGGCTGGCTCACGTTTTGATACATGGCACGCAAGCTGTTTTATTTTACCCGACTTTGTCCCAACTATTGTTCGGTGCGATTGGAACCCACTACGAGTAGATGCGTTTCTACATTTTCTCACTTTTTTTTGTTTTGTTGGGTTAGGCCCTTTCGGTCCAATGAGACCATTTCAGAGCCGGGAGGATAATAGGATATAGGGGGAGACATTGGTCTGGGCAGGCACCCTAGTGAGTCGCCGGGGCTGAGCCCGTATTTTCTCACCTCGGCAGGCATCTTGTGAAACGCCCTGGTCAGGAGCGGATGGTACTTTTTGAACACGTCCCGGAGGCGCGCCGTGCGCTCCGCCTCTAGCGACATCTGTCGGCTGAAGCAGTCAGCTATGATCTCCTGCCTTGCCCGGTAGATAGCGTGCAGGTCTTCCATCAGGGTGGTGAAGTCTGCCGCCGAGTACTGCCGAAAGAGATCGGACCGGTTCGTTAGAGATGGACAGATCATATCACAGATCGGTGTTCTTTGACTAGCCGCCGGCCCAGCAACGGCACAAATAGATACGGTAATCGGGAGCATCAAGAAACGACTTCTGGGAACTCATTTACAATTACATCAGCGATAATCAGGTCGAACAGTGAGTTAGATCAGGCACAAATTTATTGAAGAACCAGCAATGAAACGGTTCGTAATCAGGTCTAATTTGATATTTGATTCTCGATATGTGCTTCGACTTCGAGTATTTCGAAGTCAAAGTATATACCTACTGAGAATCAAATAAAGAATTAACAGATCACAAACATCAGAAATGAACGACCGCGGTCCGAAGTTCATGAGCAGAGGGGAAATAAGAGCTGCCCCTCGCGGCTCCTTGCACGGATAGATTCACTATTGGAAAACTTGCAAGTCATCGGCTGCACAGATCCTGCTCAGTCCGATATCAACCGGTGTTGTAAATACCAAATCGTACCCAGCTGTCGCTGTCCCTCGATATATCCCTGCATGCCCTCGATATATCTATCCCCTTGCTGTGTTGTACCGTGTCCGTATCGTACCGTGTTGAAGTGCTGCGGCTCGATCCGGCGTTTCCAGCGGACCAGATCGTCCTCGCCGTACCCCAGCAGTTTGGTCATCCGCCGCGCCTCCTCCACTGCCACCTGTTCGATGCGCGACTCGACCAGGCGCATCTCACGACGACGCTCCTGTTCTAGACGTACGAACCTGGTCGGGGGAGGAGGGGAGGGGAAGGTCACGGAGTGGAGGGGTCACAGGAGGGGGAATGGGGAGGTCGGGTTGGGTGGTTGGTTACACTGGCCAGGCCGGGGAAAGATCAGGTGGGTTGGGCATATATAAAACTTTGCCAACAAGCCCATCAAGCATGTCGATGATTTGTGGACGAGTTGGACTGGACTTCTGGCTCCGTAAAAAAATCTCACTTGATCGGATCCCCTTCTGGCTACAGCATAAACCTGACGCATCCAGTGAGGTCCTCGATAGGGCACGTCCTCGACAGATTTGAAAATACGACAAACGTCCTATAAACAGAGGCGGAGCTCTAGATAGCATTTTATACATGAAATAAAAAAGCACGCCTTTACGGCCCACAATAATCAGTACTCACTGAATCATCCGTTCCCGCTCGCTCCGACACCACTGACCTCTGTTTTCGGATGATGGCCACCCGTCCGACCACGCCGCCGCCGTCGTCGGCAGCGGCTCTGAGGTCCGACGAGGAGACGGCCCGCGGACCGGAGGCGGTGACCTGACCCGGGTCAGAGGGGTCACCGACCACCGGCAGGCCACGCACCTCCCAAACGTCCTCCAGCGGGCGCACAGACATGGTGTGCGGCGCCCGGGAGTGGAGGAGCGGTACTAGAGGAGAGGAGGCGACATCTCCTGTGGCGAGATAGAGAGAGGTAGTGATTCGGCTGGCGGCAAGGTGGAGATTACAGGTGAATATTGACGGTTACTGGATTTCTAACAAAATATAGTGTGGGAAACATACATTACAGTACATCATGCAGAAAATAGAGTACTTTTCTCGATATGAAAACAGAAAATACGTCACAGTGTTTTATGCGTCAAAAATAAAATGTCTCAGATGCGCTAGAAAAAAAGCAAAAAGTCAAAATATCGAATCTCGTGACAAAGCGCCGATTACGCCTTCGCTGAGGTTCGTTACATAGCATTCAGTGAGAATACAAAGGAACAAAATGGTGGTTTTGGTGGCGGTGAAGTGAAAACATGGGCCGTATTATAGGACACAGGAACTCTATGTTCAGCAATCGCATTCCTATCACCACCAATACAAATGTCACGACTCCTTTCGTTAAGATCCGTGTATTCCGTAGTCAACGAATATGCACGATCTCAACGATGGCTTCAAAGTCACAGACTCATCGCGAGTCCCAGGTATAACAACAAGACACACAACAATATACATCGCCAGCCAGCGGCCCTGGCAGTCTCAGACACCGCCTAACCCAAGACGAACTCCAATTCGCAACGGGTGACCTGACGACACTTCAAGCAGCACTGACGTATCACAAAGCCATTGCATTTCTACAAGAATATCTCAGCAAGCGATCACTACCCACGTCCTCCATTCACCTCAAAAGTCCGCTTCATAACCCTCTCACACTCTCTCCAGTCTCTCCCTCGCTCTCTCTCTACTCTGCCGACGGTCGAGCGACGCCTTCCGTCGCGGCTCTATCGCCCTAGCCGATGATCTCGATTCCCTTGAAGTACTCTGCGTCCACGTGGTTGGTGAGCCGCACCAGGTTGCTGTAGCCGTTGACTATGCTGGCCAGCCGGGTGTCCTGCAGCGGTGTAGTGATGATGGTGTACAGGTGGCCGTACACCAGGGCGTCCAGCGGGGTCGGCTGGCTGCCGAAAAAGTACGTCTCCCGACCGAGACGCTCCGAGAGCGCGCGGCAGCACGTGTCCACCTGATGGAGAGAAGAGAGGAATGTTAGCGGGGAATGAAGAGGCGATAAGAAGGGGTTAACGAGGGAGGTGGGGAATCGGTTAAGAAGGACAGGACAGGACTTCAAGGAGCGTTAGTGTCAGTAAGAGGAATGAATCAGTGGAGGGTGAGTGGGCGAAGGGCTGAAGAAGCCGAGGCCGTGAGGCGGGATGAGCTGGACTGATGCTGAGGGAGACGAGTTGATGAGCGCAGGCACATGGGTCAAAACCGATGCGTTCAAATGCTGCAGCTGCAAGTGTGTGGCAATGCAACTGATAAGCCGATCTAAACTGCTGATTAACTGTCGAAGTTCGCTATCTACGAGTATCACGCAGGATAAAAGACCAAAACACGCTTATCGAAAAGCACATTCATAAAAAATTGACAGTCCATAATGCCACTCCCCGCGACTCGTCAGAGAATCCACACATTGTCTCGAAAGCTCATGAACTTGGGTAATAGCTGATCCAATGGCCATTGACCAGCTTTACCGTCAACTCACCGCAATAACTAGCAGAAGCTCGCAATGGAGCAGCTCAGAATTCAAAGAGCTTACAAATCCCTATATCCCTCCCTCTGCTTTGCCTTGCACTTTTCTCTTCCCCCTCACCTCCGCGTATACGGCATCCAGCGATTTGTCAGCCCACTGGAGCGCCTGCAGCCGTGCTGCCATCTTGCGTCGGCGGAGCCAGGTGAGAACGCCGCCCAGCGGCCACGGCTGGAACGAGCCGTAGCGGGGCGCCGTGACCGTCTCGAACGTCTCACCGTCCAGCCAGGACAGGTAGAGCTCGGCGTTACCTGCAGACACGGGTGGGCACGGTTAATAGAGGTCGCACACCTACCGTAGCGATGATTTTTTGGGATATTTTTGGAGCTGAATTCATTGCATAATATATGGGTGGTACTCGCTAGAATACCTACTTGGCCACAAACCGGAAGCGTTTCACGAAAATGACATAATTTGTGGGAAGAATCACGAAGTGTTCCAACTTTTTTAACATCTTGCACTACGTAGCACAACATGGCATCGTATTTCACAGATATATTTACGATGCTACCGAGTAGACGTTTTATTGGAAATGAGATCATAGATTATCCACGAAACGCGCGGAAACATCGGCGACGTTTAGAAAAATAGAGGAAGAACTCAAACCCGCCGACAAGCACGTGGTTACCGCCTCCGTCCGCCGGTAGCACCCACCGAGGATGTTGTGCACGAGCGATATGAATGCCTGCATGTCCGCCTGCTGCTTGCTGTCCAAGCTATTCAGCACGACGCCCTTCTTGGTGACAAACGCCACGATCGGGTCGAACTCGGAGATGACGAATTTGCCGCACCTGTCAACATGCCAAACATGTCAATACCTAGGAAAAGAGATAGTCGATTTTAGAGAAAATAATCTAATGTTCATTCAGACGCACTTACAAAACAGGCCTGCGCCTGACGCATTGCAAGGGGCCGGAACAGGTCCCGTAGTCCAAAGCGGATTACACTATGTCTCTTGTCCAATCGAATACAGCTAGGCCCCTTGGCGCAGGACGTGCACTCGCTAGGTCTGGCCAAGGGAGCTATGTCGAGGATTCGCATTGGCTTAGGTAAAATCAGCTTCTGCCTCGCGAAATAACGGTGAAGAAATAAGCAGATCACCAAACTGGACACACGCCCTAAGGACAACAGCCTATCCCCCGAAACCCCGGAAAGTTCACCGAACGGAGCAACATTCACAGTCCCGCTTCACGCACCTGAGCAGCGGCACGCGGCCGGAGGGAGACATGTTCTCGGCGTTGGCCCGCTGCTCGACCGTGTACTCGAGGTTACACATGCGCAGGAACGCCTGGACGGCCACACACTGGGCGCTATCGGCCAAAAGGATCTGTCGGCACACCCGCGTGGGGTAATGGTCAGACGGGGGGGGGGGGGCAGCCGTGGGTTGTGGTCAGACCGAGGGGTAAGACAACGAGGCTAGAGTTCAGACCGAACGGGTAGTGGTCATATCGCATTTCGCAGTTGGGTAGAGATCAGAACGAGAAGTATGTGCTCAGATCAAGATATTATGTACAGGGCGCTGGGTGGAAGTATTTCTGTGTCGGTAAAGAGAGGTTTAGTAACATGTTCAACGTTTAATGAAAAAGTACAACTATATGTATTTGTGATGTGTAGCCCACAGGAGGAAGGAAAGAAAATATGTTAGCGTTTTACGTCACTTCCATAGCACTGAAATTGGACAGTTACATTAAACAATAACAGCAGATAACATTTATGCCATGTTTATTATGTTCATGTTTATTATGTGCCATGTTGAGAACAAACCCTTGTCATATTTATGAGTACAGCCTGCATTTGGTAGCCATTGGTCCGGCCAAAGCGTAGCACGTGGCTCACACATCAGTTCTGTGATGATGGTGTGGTAACTGATTCATTGCGCCCCACACACCTACCTGTTCTGTGATGTAGGGTGGTAACTGATTCCCTAAGCCCCACACACCTACCTGTTCTGTGATGTAGGGTGTATAGAGGACGGCGTCCGGGGCCCAGGGCTCCGACGCCGCCATCTCGATGGAAAGACACTCCGTCAGCGCTGTCGGCATCGTGGCTGAAAAAGGCAGACATTGTCACATTAGTTGGTTCTCAAAGCTTGAAGAAACGGCACATATGATAAAGAAAATATATATTAAAAGCAAGAAAAAATGTAGAAAGAAACAAAGGCGGCTTGGCCTCACGCTCTAGACATACATAGCTCCAGCCTTCTTTCCGATGCATCCTGTCCCTATGGTTGTGTGTTATAAAAAATTTACGCTATGATTGAAAAAAAAAATGTTGGGTCTAACGTGGGGGTGAAAAATGTGATGTATAGCTGGCTAGTGGCTGATCTATTCGGCCACCTGAACTTACAGCACTGGTTGGCCATAAGCCGATCACCCGTTGGTTAATTCAAAACTGCACACAGCATCGATCAGGTGTCAGCACGTCATGCTTACAAGAACAATGTTCCGGTACCACGGAAACATCATCAGCTGCGGTATCGGTATAAAAAATGATATTTCTGTTTGTCAAAAATGGCATCGCTGATAATAGGGGAGAGTGGGGTAAGATGCCCAGGGTGGGAAAGACGCCCCACCCCCTCTAGCGGGGAAACAAAGAATCGAACCTAGAAATTAATGTTCTTAGCGTAAAGCGGAAGCCTGCCTTGTTAACTGCACAAAAATTTGCGAAACTCAGTTGGGCAACGGCTGGTTGGTAATCGCATGTTTTTTATTTGCTGCTTTCAAAAAATATTTTGGTGTCAAAACATTGTAAATATCAAAGAAGGTAGATATTTTTTGCGTCCCTTGCTATAGTCGTGATACATTAACATGCGTGTACTGTGTCCCAAACAGTTTGTTTCAGGGTGTAGTTTTATGGCTAACAAATTGTGCTGATTTAATGTTACTTCGGTACCTTGGGGTAAGATGCCCCCTGTCCTGATGGGGAAAGACGCCCCCCTAAATCCGTAGGCTGTCCTTCAAGCAGCCCGTCAAATAATTTATTACATACTTGTGATGAGAGACAAAAGCCGATCTGGGACTATTGAGAGTCCGGTACGGTCCGGTGCTCCCCATGCCGGTCTCTCGGCCCACTTGGCGACTTTTTGGGCGGCATCTGACTCTGAGAGCCCTCACGACGGCCTCTGTAGGCCCCATTATTGCCTCCAGGGCCCCTCACGACATCCTTTGAGGGCTCCCACGTTGCCTCCACGGGCCGCGCTGGCATCTGAGGTCCCCACGATGGGCTCGAGGGCCCTCAAGCATCATGAAGACCTATAAGGGCCCCACAGTGGTCTTCGAACGCCACCACGGAGGCTTGTTTGGCCACGCTGGACTATGATGGCCCTAACGATGACCTCTGAAACCCCTTACGACTACTTTTGAGGGCCCTTACGTTGACGTTTGGTGTCTACTGCAGGCTCGAAGGGACTACTGATTCGTTCAGGCGATTCACGTGCCTATTAATGTCACTTATAGTGCAGGGGGCATCTTACCCAACGCCAGGGGGCGTCTTTCCCACCCTGTGGGGTAAGATGCCCCCTTTCACTTCTTCAGGAAAATGCTTAATAGCAAAAAAAGTTATCATATTTCAGGCACAAAAGTGTGATATTTTTGG